TTTTGCAGTGATTTTTACTTAGTGAAACATCAAGTTCTTAAAAAGTACTTTAAAGTGTATAAATAAGTTACCCGGGCAATTGATTTACGTCAGCCAATCAGACGAATGTCTGACTATGACGCTGCATTGGGGTGTGCAGTGTACTATGTAAATCAAAACTATGTGTGGTCATATAATAAAATTAGATTTGAAAAATCTTTGTTAATTAATTTTATTATGTGACCACATATACTGTAGTTTTGATTTACATAGTACACCGCTCACCCCAACGCTGCATGTCTTAATTTACGTCTTGGTTTTGCACAACTTTGTTATGTAATTATCTCATTCCATAAAATCTCGAAATAATGGGCATCCGTGCGTCATTTTGAGTGCGCCCATGAGGGCTGATTATTATTTAATATATACATTATTTGAGATGGGCGTTATTTTGGAATACCAATGAGAGCTAAAAATATTCCATAAATATTTAAATATATATTATAAACCGTATACTCAATGTGTAAGAAAACCAAACAAATTAGTAATATATATTTTAAAGTCCGATTCTATCCGAATTAGCTAAACTAAAAAAATAAAAAATACTGTATAATAATAAATTGTGTAGTATCCAGTACCATGGTATGTAATAAAAAAAAAATACAATTTCTTGTAATAATAATAAAGTGACATGTGAGGTGGGAACGCATCAATTTTTTTTAATTGAATATATAATAAAAAAAGTTAAATTTTATGAATTTAATTTTATTATATTCGGTTAAATTCTTTTTGTCTAAAAAACAGGCGTTTCTTACCTCCATAAAATAAATATGAAATTGAAGTCTATAACTTTATTCTTTATAAAAATTTTAATGTATTCAATACCTTTTATCGTATAAAATGCTTCCGCACTCGATCAATAGTAGTTGAGCCATACATTTCGTACAAAAGTCAATTAGTGAGACAATAACATTATTTATACAGTTTAAAATAATAATTGTATAGGAAAGTTTGGTGATCCAAGCCTATTAAATTTTTACGGCTAGGCTAAGCTATTATATTTTTAATGGCTTAGCGACTTAGCCAATAATATTACGCCATACCCGAATGGGATGTCTATATCTAGATGATGTACCACATTTCAAATACTTTAGAATTTTGAAAACAAAATTAAATTCTTGGAAACAGATAAATATTCAATCGAATAGAGATGTTTTACCAAAGCTTATAAATGTTATACGAACGTATGTACTTACGTACGTACTGTACGTACGTACACATACGTCAAAAAATTCAATACTGAGCTTGGGTATGTATTAGTGGCATTATAATTATTTTGTTCTGATGCAAATTTTAGTTCGACGTATAACAGAGATTTAAGTTTGGGTTTGAGGATACTATATAAATTTTAGTTATACGCTTTGAATTTTGTAATCAATATCATTAGCTGGCTGATCTGACTATCAGCTAGCTAAGTAGAAAAACGGCTGGTGAAGCGGTTAACTTAAATCAGCTTGGAGCACTAGGAAAGTTCATTAGAATTGTAAGTCAAAAAGTATTATTAATTGTCGCGGATGATCATGAAATCCGGATCATCGTGAAATTCCAATTTTTAAAATTTTTTGGGGTATATTTTTTTAGGCTTTTTTTTTGAATCGGGACTAGTTTTAGGGTTAGGGTTTATAAAAAGAGTATAAGTGGGTTTTGTTAGGGTTGTGAGGGCTTATATTTTTAAATTAAGGCCTTAGATTTCACGATGATCCGATTTCACCATAATCCGCGACATTAATTCTTATCTTTTTAAAAAGTTAGCATGGTAGCGATTTCTCAGAAACGGATGAAACAAAGTCACTACGATGCTAACTTTTTTTTTAAAAAAGATAAAAATTAAAGATTCATTCAACAATAGAATCCTATAACCCCAATACAGTTTTTTGAAAAGTACTTTAAACTGAATAAATAATGTAAAATTCAGCTGACAATCATACGAAAGCCTTCTCATGACTCTATATTTAAGTACCTTGTTTAACTATAAAGAGGTCCATTTTTTTAAATTCTGTTAATTCAATATATTGAAGGAAAATATTGTATACTGTGGCAGTGTTATATTTAAGGGTTTAAATAAATGATTCAGTCTACCGATATGACTAGAATTTTTTTTAGATACTATAATTTTAAGGCCTAAAATGACTTACCAAGATGAAGGAGGAAATCAAACTATCAAAGAATAATCAATGAATATACATAAACGAGATGTTTGTGCAAAGAATAGGATAAATGATAATTCTAAACCGTTTAACGAATAAGGAGTTGTGTGACGCTGCGTAGAGTATCCAGAATTCTGCTCTTGTCCTGCTCGTCGACTAATAACCTATTGTTGGATAAAGTCTACTGTGTTTAAAATTAAATTTTCTTTTTTGATTTTTTTCTGATTTTGTTTTTAAAGTATTATTTACAAGTCGCCGCAGAAATTGCAAATTTAACGGAAATCGCAGCAGAATTCTGGACACTCGCGCTAAAACCAGGAACGTAGTTCAACGATCTTTATAATTATAAAGAGTAGATGGATGGGATACCAGCGCTCATATTTTTTGTTCCATTGATTGTTCTACAATATTATTCATCTCTTTTGATTCTATCTTGATAATAGAATCTAACCATATTTATCTTTTTAAATATTCGAATCTTGTGATCTTATTTTTCTTTTTGATGCTAATTCTGTATGTAATTTGTAACTCTATCATCATGGCAATTACGGCATCAGAAATATTTGAATTCTTCACTTTTTTTTTTTTTGACTTCAAATTCAATTTTGTTAACAATTAAAACGTTACATATCTCTTCAGCATAACACATTTCTGCGGCTTTCTGATAAATAAATGAATGCTTTGTGTTTGTCTTATCGACTCTGATCCATGTTCATGACAATAATCAATATAACATGTTTCTTCAGTATGACTCATGTTAGCGGATTTTTGATTATTTTCGAAAGCTTACGCCTGTACTTTTCAACTCAGATTTCATTTTGATAATAATAATAAATATAATCCATTAATGCCCCATTTCCGCTGATTTTTGGCAATAAATAAATGTTTTGCGTTCATCCTTTTTGGCTCCGATACCATACTCAAGTTCAAAACTTCGATTTAAAGGTCCATCTAAATAATAAAATCACATCTATTTTTTTGGTTAGTATGAAGCAAATTTATTTAATATAAAAATTCGTGTTTGCTGACAAAAGTCAACTGATCGAGAATGGTCAAGGGTTAAACACCACCCATTGCCCTAATAGTATAGGTCGGGTCAACGAACAAATCACTTACAACATTACTCTCACAACTCATCGAAGTCTTGTAACCGTTTCAATTTTCTCGATCTATCTCTTCCATAACAATCAGCCTACTTCAAAACCACTGGCTAAAATGATCGTTCAACTATTACGATGAAATCCCGCTAATTTTCACAAGTGCGTATCATCGTTTCAGTTCGAATTACTCAGCTCAAATTACTCACAATGTATTTTGCAGACTTATCCTTTAATTGAATTTATTTCCGGCACCTTTGGCTAGTCGGCATTTTCCAACCACATGACCAGTCGTACCTAGTGTTGGCAGTAGAATTAATTTGTCAAATTAATACGGTTACGGCACGTGCCGTATTATTTGCCGTAATTACTTTGTGCCGTAATGCCGTAATGCCGTAATGTCGTAATGTCGTAATGCCGTAATGCCATAATGTCGTTATAAAATATCGTAATTCTGTTGTATCTAAATATTATAGTTCCATTGCAGTATTGTGTTAAAATATTGTAATTATTGTTGGGACTACCGATGCTAAAAATAGGTGATTCTTAATTGTCGCATTCAATAATTTATGAATTCAAATTCTTTTAATAGATTACAGCGTGTGACAATTGAATTTTTAGCATTTGTTGTCCTTAAAGTTAATATCTGGATCCGGATCCTAATCGCAAGATCCGGATCCTAATAATAAGAACCGGATCTAATCACAAGAACCGGATCTTATTATTAGGATCCGGATCTTATAACTAGATCCGGTCATTTAACCTTATATAACCGACCTCGATCAACCGGTTGACCGTCAATAAACGGTAATGACTGACCGTGACCGACCGAACCCATCCCTAGTCACAATACATCGTATATAGTTACTATAATCTTCAGGAACCTCTTCAAGATATATTTCTTTGTTTACGCTGTCCCATAATTCTCTTTCAATAAGGTGAGATTTCAACTGTACTGGAACACAGCGAAGATCAATTATCCCAGACAAGAGAGAATCATCTTTTTTCAAATCCATATAATGTATAGTTTCGCAAATGCATTTTGCAATTTCGTTCATTTTACAACCTTTTAACTGAAATAGAAAATAAATCAGTGTATTGATGAAATTGTGGCTAGATTATATCATTTAATGCGCTTCTAACATTTGTGTTTACGCCTTCAATATTTACATAACTTTCAATAGAATACTCGTTATCATAATTATACTTATCAACTATTTCGAGAATTCTTTGAGATATTTTGTCAGTACTAGAGGCCTCTTTCATAACCCGAATCTCATTCGTTATTTCCTCCCACAATGGTTTGACTTTTTTTTTCTATTTATGAAGATTATTTAAAAAAAAAAAAAATAATTAATAAAATATCATCAAAACTCAATCTGTTATAAATAAATACTATAATTTTCAGAATTGCCCAGGTGTCTAATAAAATTTGCCGATGATATAAACTTAAAAGGAGGTGAGTTGTTTAGTCTATTAAACGCTACTACACCTCAGTGAAGAAATATTTAAAGACAACAAAGCCACTCCAATTCGAAAAAAATTCTATAACCTATTAAACGCCACTACACCTCAGTGAAGAAATATTTAAAGGTTTGTAAATTTATTCTATTAATTGCACTACACCTTGGCGAAATCAATTTCAAAAAAAAGACTTATCTAAGAAGCTTTTGCCTAACCAGTTAAACGCTACTACACCGCAGTGAAGAAATGTTTAAAGGCCCGACAAAATCACAGGCTTTTGCAGTTTCATCATAGATATAGTAGATACTAGGTGTATAAATGTATTATTCATACCATATTATCTGTTATACTTGTATTTGTATGAATCGAATAAAACTCGTGCAGGTGCTTTTTTATAGTTATCACATCTTCACGAATACTAACATGTTCGAAAGCAAAACTACATAATACAAATACAAAGAATTTGTTAGGTGAACTTATTTTTTTTCTTTCACGGATATTATCTATAATTTTTTTTATTAAATTTTCATTTCTCATTTTTTATCCCCGAAAGTTACACATTTACGTAGTCTTTTCATTAGGTTACATACTATACTAGGAAAATGCGTAGCATTATTAGACCCAGCGCATATCATATGATGACACAAACGCGTGAATATGCATATTTTGTTACACTAAATTAACAAATTTGAACACGCGTGCGGACGGACAAAAAATTTCCAAATTACGTTTTTGATATGATCTTCATATAGTTTATGCGGACTCTATTATGTATCTAAGAGCTTTCGGGAAATTACCAACAAAAAAATCACTAATTTTGGTCAAAATGCATCAAAAACGTAATTTTAGTATCACCATACATAGAAAGTAATAGACCCTCCGCTACGCTCCGGGTCAATAAAGAACTTGGTTGCTCAGTCATGAGATGATTGACCAAATTTAGGATACTAAGCTATGCAAATAAATATATATGCGGAATTCTATGTTAATTAGAGTTATTACCCGGGTCGTATGACCCGTACGGGTCACCCGACCCGACGGGTTACGGGTCGAAAATTGCTCTAACCCGAGTCCAACAAGTCAGAAATACATAATTTACCCAATATAACTTTATGGGTATATTATAATTTAATAAATATGTTGTAAAGAACAACACCAGGGCAGGGACAATGATTTTTTGTGATTCACAGAAAACAGCAGAATTCTCCTTAAGTACAGCCAACTACAGAAATTACTCTTAATCACCGCAGAATATCACAGAATCCCACAAAATACCACAGAATCCCGGGGTGGGCATTATCACATGATTATTAACCAATCGAATTGAGAGCTTGTGATATGAAGTTTGTCAAATTTTGAAAATTGCAATAATATGTATTATTTAAAAATATCGTTTAAACAAGTATACATATACTTTTAAAAAGTTCAAATATAGTTAGAAAAATCACAATAAAGGGTTTTTCAAATATAAATTTGTAGAATGATAGTGATAGCAAAAGTAATGGCAAGAATATCAAGTTTATAACATGAATTATTTTTAATTATGATAAGAATGTTTCTAAATATAAATATGTAATAAAGCATAATTTTTTTTTAATAATAGCAAATCAAAATATAAATTTGTAGAATAATAGTAATAGTAAATATAATAGCAAGTTTAAAACAAGCAATTATTTTTAATTATAATAAGAATAATTTTTTTTTTGTTTTTAACTCTTCACAAGCTATCAGAAAGCATCATTAACATTCATTATAAGAATTTTTTTAAATATAAATGCATAATAAAGTATAATTTTTTTTTAATAATAGCAAATCAAAATAAGAAAGTTTCTATAGCCACTCATATAAGTGAACATCCTGGTGTTTTTAAAGAAGATAGTAGCATTATATTTTGCAATTATTGTGACTATTTCATTGAATGGAAAGTAAAATCTACTATTAATGGACATTATAATTCAAAGACCAATATTAAAAATAAACAAATCTATGAAAATAAAAAGCAGTCAAAAAAACAAATCACACTCTCTACTGCTAAAATCACATTCAAGTCAAAAAGAAGTTATAAAGAATTTGATTAAAGCATTTTTTTTTCAAATATTCTACTTAAAAAAGTTAATAGTTTACTTTTATTTTTTAAAAAACATCTTAAAAAAGGTGGTGCTATTTCTCAAACCTTTATATTTCATCAGTTATATTTGCCAACTGTCTTTAAGAATCATTTCACTTTACTTTAAAGTTTTTTTTAATCAAAAACCTGTAGCAATTATAATAGATAAAACTACAGATAATTGTTTACATAATGTAATAAATACTTTATTTGCTTTTTACCAAAATACTAAATTAGTTTTAGTTAATTTTTTAGAACGTGTAAATAATTCAACAATTAAAGAGCTTCTATTAACTATTTTAGTCAAATATAATATTCCTTATAATTTACCAAAAATATTTTTATCTGACTCCGTGGCTTATATGAAAAAATATCATCGTGAAATATTAAAATTTGTAATGCTGCAATTAGTTCATGCACTTTGTTGTGCATATATTATTAACCTTATTAAGTAAATATAAATTTAAGTATTTTAATTTTATTTTAATTGATAATCCGCCAGTCAACAGAAGAATAAACTAGTGTTCCAAATCGGCAAAAATTTTCAATCGATTAGTTGACTAATTCAAAAATTTTCAATCGATTAGTTGTCAACTAATCGATTTATCGATTTTAGTCGATT